GCTGGGAATGTTTTCAACAGACTGCAGCGTCCTCTCAAACCTGCCCCAGCCCACTCCAAGCTGCCCTGGGGGCCTCGACCTCAGATCTGACTCACACCTGGGAGTGCCTTCCTGGCCCTGGGGGGCTGAATCAGTTGGACCTGGTCTCTCAAGACCTAGAGACACCCCCTCAAACCTCTGTAGTCTGGCAGAGCCAGGAACCTGGGATGGAAGGCAACCCTTTGGAGTTCTTTGTGCCTCCGTTCCCTCTTCCTTTCCTTGGGAATAGATGCCCTCAACCATTATTTCCCCAAGAGCCGGATTCCAGGAACTTAGCAGTGAGAAAGTTACTCTTTCTGCTTCTGCTCAAACACAGAAGGTCTCACTCCATGCCCGCCTGTATCTGATTCCAACCTCAGCTCTCTGGCTGCACTGCTGTCCATCTGAGGATCTGTCACGCGGCTCTCTCCTCGCAGCGTTTCCTGTTATGGCTTATTGTCATCATGTCAGTGTGTGGCTCTGGTTTTCCACTCCTGATGGTGAGATCAAGTTTCCTTGTAAAACGTAAGCAAGAAAAATGGGAATAACACACCAGACTGGTGGACAGAGGTGTGACTAAATGGGAAACACAGCGTCAGAGGTTGGAGTTTGGGAGACACCCGTGTTTCAGAAACTGTTTGCTTAAGTTGGGTTCTCACCCAAAATGTTTTGTCCGATTCTTGCCCTGAGACGTTCACACGAACCTGGGTTGTGCCCATGTCGAGAAAGGCAAGGATCTCTAGATGGAAGGTGAGGATACCGGATTCTAGGGATTGCCTGTAGTCAACTACCACAAACCAGGGCGCCTGGGTGGCACAGTTGGCTTCCGCTCAGGTCATGATCTCAGGGCCGTGGTCCGAGCCCCACGTTGGGGCTCCACGATCAGCGGGGAGTCTGCTTGAGATTCTCTCTCTCCTCCCCCTGCTCACTTGCTCTCTCTAAAAATAAATAAATAGGGGCACCTGGGTGGCTCAGTTGGTTAAGCGACTGCCTTCGGCTCAGGTCATGGTCCTGGAGTCCCGGGATCGAGTCCCGCATCGGGCTCCCTGCTCGGCAGGGAGTCTGCTTCTCCCTCTGACCCTCCACCCTCTCATGTGCTCTCTCTTTCTCTCATTCTCGCTCTCTCAAATGAATAAATAAAATCTTTTAAAAAAAAGTTTAAAAAAAATAATAAAAATTAAAATAAATAAATAAATCTTAAAAAAAAATAAATGAATTGCCACATACCTCGCGCCTCCAACAACAGAAAGGTATTCTTACATTTCTGGAGGCCAACCCAACAGACACCCAGTGTCAGTATCCGCGGGCTGAAATCAAGGGGTTGCAGGGCTGCACTCCCACTGGAAGTTCCAGGCGGAGGGTCGTTCCCGCCGCCTCCAGCTTCTGGGGGCTCCAGGTGTCCCTTGGCGTGTGGCTGCACCCTGTCTGGTCTCCACCTCTGTGGTCATGTGGTCTCCTCTGTGTCTGTGTCAAATCTCCCTGTGTTTCTCTCTTATAAGGACACTTGCAACAGTACTTGGGGCCTACTAGGATGGTTTCCTCATCCGATGATCTGAATTTCATTGTATCTGCCAAGCCTCCAAATAAGGTAAAATTCACAGGTTCCTGAGATGAGAATGTGGACATATCTTCGGGGGCTGTTATTCAGATGATCAGAAACTACCCTGGGTTTGTGACGAGCAGAAAAAGCTATTCTAGGGCGCTGTGGGGACAACAGGGGCCGTCTGACCATGGATGGTGGATTAGATCGCAGCTTGGATATGACTGAAGACCCTGCCTGCAGGAAATAAGTTCATGTGTTTAGAGGTGAAGTGGTACCATCTCTGTGGCTTATTCTTAAATATCCACTTACATAAAAAGATTACCTGTGTGCCTTTTTCCAGGTATGATGTCAACTGCACACGTCAGGAATACAGCTCAATTTTCACAAATCTGACACACAGGTGTCCCAAGAAACGCCCAGCCCCTGACAGCCCCCCCCACCTCTCATCGCTGGCCCCCAGGGCGATACCCCCATCCTGACGCCTCACACCGGCGTAGTTGGTTTTGCCTGTTGTAGACCGTGACATAAATGGACCTCCTTTGTGTCAGGCTTGCCGCTACTCAGCATCCCGTCCGAGACGCGTCCACATTGTTGTTTCCTGGGCACAGAATTCCCTGGTGGGAATTCGCTACGGTGTATTTACCCATCCTCCTGCTGATGGAGAGCAAAAAGAATATGTAGAATCGGGGAACGCAGGAATAGGGTGCCCACAGTGCTGTTCTTACAGGCTTGAAGTCTTGAAAAACCGCAGTGAGACACCACTTTGCCCCATGAAGATGGCTGGAGCCAAAACGGGCGATCGCCAGCGTCTGCAGGACGTGCAGAGATCGGAACCCTGGCGCACTGCTGGTGGGATGCGGATGGGACAGCCGCTGTGGAAAACAGTCTGGCAGTTCCTCAAAGAGCAAAACACAGAATTATCGTATGACCCAGCAGTTCTACTCCTATTCATATAGACGAGAGAAATGAAAACACGTCCACGTACAAACCTGTACACCCAGGTTCAGGGCAACACAATCCACAGCAGCCAAAAGGTAGAAACAACCAAGTGTCCGTTGATACATAAATGATACAGACCACACGTCCACCACGCGTGGGAGCGTCCCTCAGCTGCAGACAGGAGCCAGACGCCCACACGCACTGCCCCAGGGACGGACCCCGAGCCCACGACGCTCAGGGAGGGAACCAGACACAGACGGCCACACGGGGTGTGAGTCCACGTGGGTGACACGTCCGGAACGGGCTCATCCACAGACGGGAAGGGGGCTCGTGGGGGCCGGGGCTGGGGAGAAGGTGGGGAGTGACCGTTGATGGGGGCGGGGACGCTCAGGGAGGGACCCGGACATGGAAGGCCATGCGGGGTGTGAGTCCACGTGGGTGACACGTCCGGAACGGGCTCATCTGCGGACGGGAAGGGGGCTCAGGGGGCGGGGGCGGGGGAGAAGGTGGGGAGTGACCGTTGATGGGGGCGGGGACGCTCAGGGAGGGACCCGGACACGGAAGGCCACGCGGGGTGTGAGTCCACGTGGGTGACACGTCCGGAACAGGCTCATCCACAGACGGGAAGGGGGCTCATGGGGGCCGGGGCTGGGGAGAAGGTGGGGAGTGACCGTTGATGGGGGTGGGGACGCTCAGGGAGGGACCCGGACACGGAAGGCCACGCGGGGTGTGAGTCCACGTGGGTGACACGTCCGGAACGGGCTCATCTGCGGACGGGAAGGGGGCTCAGGGGGCGGGGGCGGGGGAGAAGGTGGGGAGTGACCGTTGATGGGGGTGGGGATGCTCAGGGAGGGAACCAGACACTGAAGGCCACGCGGGGTGTGAGTCCACGTGGGTGACACGTCCAGAACAGGCTCATCCACGGACGGGAAGGGGGCTTGTGGGGGCCGGGAGTTGGGGAGGGGGAGATGGGGAGCAACGGCTGATGGGATGGGGTCTCCTTTCGGGGCGATGGAATGTTCTGGAACTAGAGAGAGGTGAGGGCGGACAACCCTGTACTGAAAACACTTGAGTTGTACACCTCCATGGGTGAACTGTGTGGTAATTGAATTATATTTCAATGAAGCTGTTATTAAACTCCAACAACACCCGGGGCAGGACAGCTTCCTGGGCGTGGGTCCCACCCCCATCACACAGAGCCCCGAAGATTGTCCTCCTGGGGGCAGGGTGGAGACACTCCAGGAAGGGAAGACTGAGTTTCTGGCTGTGGGAATCAGGATGTTATTCCAAGTTTGTGCATCGCGGCGCCCTCTGCCCAGCGAGGCTGTGGATTATCTCATTCCATCCTTCCAGGCTTCTCGTCCTGGCCCATTTTCCTGAGGCGGCCCTGAGGCTTGGGGAGGTGACACAACCATGCAGGATCCCTCAGGTGCTGGCCTCAGGGCTCCGAGTGCGGGGACACCCTCTCCCATCTCAGTCCTGGGGTCCTGTAGCTCAGGCACACCCCATACATGGCCCTCCTGGGACCAGGAAGAGGGATCAGGGAATCCCCAGAGCCACCAGGAAGGCATCCCGGCTTCTGGCCAGACCGGTTACCCCTCCACCACTCCACTGGGCCAGGCCTGTCACCTTGTCTTCACCCAGGTGCTATTTAAAGGTGCCACCTGGGGCCCTGGCTGTAGGACTGGGCCTATGGGAGCAGAGGGGCAGGGACTGGAGCCCTGGTATGTGTCCTGTGTGGTGCCTTGGGGAAGGTGCTGACCCACTCAGGCCTCAGTTTCCCCACCTGTCAATGACGTCTCTGGGCTCTGAGTCTGTGAAGGTTCACCGTGCTCCTCTCAGGATCCAGGGCACAGGGTGGCTCCCAGTGGGGCTTGGGGCTTGGGTGTGTCTGTAAATGATGAGCAGGTATGGGAGTAAATGGAGCCACCCTCCTTGGACATGCAGCTCTGGACGACGCTGGGGACCTCGTGCAGGCCCCAGTCATCATCCATGCCCCTGTCAGCTGGCCACAGACATGCACACATGTCCATCTGCCATCAGCCCACAGCACCCCATCCCCTCCCCTGCCCAACACCGGGATGCACAACATTCCCTCTACCCACATGTCCCCCCATGCCCAGCCCTCAGTGAAGACCCTGGCCCTGGGGGCCTGGCTCTTCGAGAGGGCCAGTTTGGAGGGCAGACAAGTCCCCCCCGTGGCATGCCCAGTGCGGAGGCCGGGCTGGCACAGACATGCAGGCCAGCACTACCCACCCAGTCTCTGACCCCTGAGCAGCTCTGTTGCTCCCTGTGTCTCTGTCCAACTCACTGTCTCTCACAGATCGGACTCTCTTAGCCGCCCTTCCCTGTGTCTCTCCCTGTAGCTGTCCGTGTCCCTGTCTCGGAAGTCTCTCTGTCTCTGTCTCCCTCCGTGTCTCTGCGGGCCCGCCTCTCTCACACCCACGCCCCCGCAGCCCCTGCAGGCTAAGCCGGTGACTCACCGACACGCACTCCCCACCCCGCAAGACAAACACGCGCGGAGGCAGGAGAGTTTTCCCGAATGGGCCCCGCCCCACGCCCTGGCCCCGCCCCAGTCGCCTCGTTGCCCCGCCCCTGCGGCTCTGGCCCCGCCCCCGAGGCGCCCCCACTGGCCAGCCGCAGCCTCTCCACTGGTCGGCTCCTTGCCCGTGGCCCCGCCCTCTCGCCCCAGGCCCGCCCCCTGTGGCTCAGGCCCCGCCCCGAGGCTCCCTATTGGCCCGCGCGGGCTGGCCCTGCAGGGCGCCCCGCCCCCGCCGCGGCGATGGCCGAGCTGCGGACGCGCGGGGGGGAGGCAAGAGCCGGCGGCGAGCCGGGCGCGGGGCCATGCGCGGCCGCCTGTGGCTGGGCCTGGCGTGGCTGCTGCTAGCACGAGCGCCCGGCGCCGCGGGGACCCCGAGCAGTCCGCGGAGACCGCGCAGCTACCCACACCTGGAGGGCGACGTGCGCTGGCGGCGCCTTCTGTCCTCCACCCACTTCTTCCTGCGCGTGGACCCCGGCGGCCGCGTGCAGGGGACCCGCTGGCGCCACGGCGCCGACAGTGAGTTCAGGGAGGGGGTGCGGGGTAGACAGTCCGGCAGGAAGGACAGGGGCGGCGGCAGGAGTAAGGACGAGCCAGGTCCTCTGTCCCGTGAGGGTGTGTGGTGTCAGCCAAGTCACTCCCCAGCGGGGGCCTCAGTTTCCTCAACCGTGAAGTGGGTCCAGCGCACGCGCTGGGAGGGTTGCACAGGTGAGGTAGGGGTCCCAGAGGAAGCTCCCCACGCTGGCCTGGCTCCGCAGCAGAGAAAGGTCTTTGCAGAATAGCTGAGTGGTTGAGTAGCTGAGGTCACTGGGTCCACTTACAGAGGGGAGGCGGCGACCCCAGGACCCAGCTACATAAGGAAGTGGAAGCAGAGCTAGGGTCTGAACCCTGGACTCCCCACACTGCAAATCCAAACCCAGAACCTGCCTGAGTGAGGGACCCCTCTCTTTCTTCCCACACATCCTTTTGGTAGATGAAGCACAGAGAGGGGAAATGACCTGCCCAGGGTCACACTGCTGGGGTGCGGGTGGGGGTGTTGCTGGGGCTCCTTAATGCCCAGAACCTTGTCAAGTTGGAGTCACTGTCCCTGATGCCCTGCCCAGCAAACAGTAGGCACTCAATAAGTGTGGAACGTCTGAGGCAAGAGGAGACATGGGGGCAAAAGAGAAGGAGGACCCTGGGGATCACTGGGGACCTAGAGCCTCAGTGACCCTGTGGGCCTGTCTTGGTCTGCTCAGAGCTCTGAGGCCTGGGCTGGGGGGATAGCTAATCACTGGCCACTGCCTGAATCACTGCCATTAGGGCAGATAATCACCCCCTGCCCTTCCAGCTGCTTTCATCGGGCTCCCAAGGCTCTCATTAGCCTCACCGGACAAGGACAATGACAGGGGGACTGGCTGGGCCAGTCCATCGGTGGTGGGCACAGGCAGGGTGTCTTCAGGCTGGATCTTCTGGGTGGTTTGGGACAGTTGCTGCTTCTCTCTGAGCCTCAGTTTCCCCATCTGGGCAGCAATGGTGGTGACATGGTTGATGGCTCTGTGGGGGGGGGAGGCACTTGGAGCTCTTCGCTCCTTCGTTAATTCTGTAGTTATTAATTGGGTACCTATTGTATGCTATAGTGGGCACAGGGGACATAGCAGTGACCTGGACAGCCCACCTTCATGGGGCTCCCACAGCAGAGGGTAAAGCCGTTAAACAAGTGAATGGCTAATTTGGTAATTTCACAGGAGGCCATGTAGGGTGCAAAGAAAATGAAAACAGGGTGATGTACAGGAGATGACTGGGGGGGCAGCTTTACTGGAGAGGTCTGGGGCCTCTCCAAGGAGGTGGGCTTGAATTGACTCTCATGTAGAGAGAAGGACCTGGGTGCCTGATAGGGGAGATAGCAGGTACAGAGGTCCCATGTGACATGGGGTGAGCTCCCCATCACCTCAGGCATCCAAGTCCAGACTGAAGACCAGAGGGCAAGGCCTGGACTCCAGAATAGGCCCTGGTACATGGGTGGGTCGAGGGTATGGGCAGCTGCTCATCCCCTGGGTCTGCCTCGCTGGACTGCTCAGAGTGGGGCAAGGCTCCTCTGGGGTCACCCATCTGCCACTTCCCAGGCCTCAGTTTCCCTCTCTGGGAAGTAGGCACAGTCGGCACCTCCCACCTGGGGTTGTGGGGTGCAGTGCTTGGCATATGGTTGGGGATCCAGCAGCAGCAGTGACTATCAAGGAGCTGAGCACACCATGCTGCCCCCCCCCATCCCACCGCCTCCTGCCACGCCTCCCATCTGGAGCTCCTGTCATCTCAGTGGCCAGGGTGGGAGGCCGAGCACCGCCTGTGTGGCTGCCGCTAGGGGGTCTACACCTGTTACGCCTCACTTGTGCCCAGGCAGTCCCCGCCTCCTCTGCCTTGGTTTTCTCAGCCTTGACCCGCCAGGGCCCTCCCTGCTCTGAGCTTCCAACCTGGCTGGGGCTCCTCAGGGCCCAAGAGGCCGGCCCCTCCGGGCTGACGTCCTGCCTCAGGTCTTCACACTGGCTTGAGAGTCCTTCCTGCCCCTCCATCAGCCCCATCCTTGGAGTGCTCCTGGCAGGGCCTCTGTGCTCCCCTGTGTCAGGGCACAAGCCAGGGCCAAGCACACAGTAAGCGCTTGGTGAGTGTTACCTGCGAGAACGAGCCAGCCAGAGTAAGTGGATGAGCGGATGGCGGGGGGCAGGCCCTAACCAACCCCACCCCCAACCTCCCCACCCCCAGGCATCATTGAGATCCGCTCCATCCACGTGGGCGTCGTGGCCCTCAAGGCTGTGCACACGGGCTTCTACGTGGCCATGAACCGCGGGGGCCACCTCTACGGGTCGGTGAGTGCTGCTCGTGGGGCTTCTGGTGGGCGGGTGTCTGGTGGGGGGGGTGTCCGGTGGCCCACCTCACACACCCGACCCCCCCGAAGCGGGTCTACACTGCCCACTGCAGGTTCCAGGAGCGCATCGAGGAGAACGGCTACAACACCTACGCCTCCCTCCGCTGGCGTCACCGTGGTCGGCCCATGTTCCTGGCGCTGGATGGGCAGGGGGCCCCGCGGCGTGGGGGCCGGACACAGCGGCACCACCTGTCCACCCACTTCCTGCCTGTCCTGGTCTCCTGAAGTCCCCAGGTCCGCAGCATGCCTGAGCTGCATGTCCAGGGGCCGGGGGCCGGCGAGCTCAGGCCGTGGCCAAGCACGTCTGGTCACTCGTCTTTTCCCCAAGGATTCATGGAGTGTCTGCTGTGTGGCGGGCTGGGGGTACTGCGGGACCCCCACAGATGCGGCCTGACCCCCAGGGAGCTCCTGAGTCGGAGGAGAGGTGGACACTGAGTTGAGCAGAGGCCACAGGTGTCCAGTCACAAGCGGGGGGTGGGGCACGGAGGCCCCAGAAAGGCCCCACCCCGGGAATGGAGCCTGAAGGACAGGGCCATGTAGTCACCAAAGGGCTGAGACGTGGCCTAGGCAAAGCTGAGGTGGGAGCCCATTGGGGTGTTTGAGGCAGGGAGGAGGTGGGAGAGGCTGGGGCAGAGTGAGGTCTGAGGGCTGGGGGAGAGAGGGCGACATGGACATGCCACGGGGTGACCGGTCCCCGTCCTGGTCCCAGGACCTGGGACGTGTCCCCTCCCGCGGCAGAGGGGACCTTGTCAGGGCCCCCGAGGAGGGGGTGACCCTGGGTTCCCGGGGGGCCCGGTGTCCTCAGGAGGTCCTCACAAGGGGGAGGCAGAGGGTGGGAGTCCCAGAGATGGGCGGACCCCGCGCTGCTGGCGGTGAGGATGGAGGGGGGGCCGCGGGCCAGGAAGAGGCCGGAACCGGGTCTCCCGGGGGCCGCGGGGGGAGGAGGGGACACCAGCCCTCCATTCTGTATTTCTGAGCCCAGAATTGTCAGAGAATCGGTGCATGGTCACAGCGGCCATAGAGCAAACACACGGGCGCATGCAGTCTGGAGGTGCTTGCACTGCAACCGCGGTCAGAGCTCCAGAGCTCCCGCGCTCCCGCGCTCCCGTGGGGCGGGCAGGGCTGGGAGTGGGAGTGGGTGCCGTGTGCAGGCCATGGGGGCCCCGTGCCAGCATCCTCCAGGGGCTCGGTGGGACCTGGGGCAGCCGCGGCTGCCGCCCTCCCAGCACCCCTGAGCCCTCACCGCCAGGCTGAGCCCCAGCCGAAGGAAAAGGGGTGCAGAGCCCAGGTTCAAACCCCAGCCAAGCTGGGCCCGGCAGTTCCGCTCGGGTGTCCTACCCCGGGCGAGGTGGGACATTCCGCGTGGGGAGGGCGACAGTCCCTGGGGCGGGGCGCAGGCTCCCACCCCTCCCCGCAGCCCCCTCCCACTACAATACAGAGGATGAAGGCAGGGAGCGGGCAGATGGAGGGCGCTCACGGCGGTCGGTGGAGGCTGCTGGTCCCCGTAGCCACGCAAACATGCGCAGTCAGCGGCCCCGCGGGCAGGGCTCCCGCGGACGGGGCTTTTCCGGCGGTCGCGGCCTTCACGCTCAGGGAAGCTCTGGCGTCTTCGGGCGGGGGGGCTGCCGGCGCGCTCCCAGGTCGGGTCTGAGGCCGCGGAGCTGGCTGACGCCCGAGAAGCCCGACCTCGCGGCCGCACAGCTCGGCCCGCCCCCAGCGCCCACGCGGAAGGAAAACGCCAACCACCTGCTTCTCTTTCTAAGTAGGTGTATTTTTAAATAGCTTTCAAGATACACATATTTTTTCCTTTAAAAAACGTCTGTCGGAGCAGTTTTGTTCTTGTTTTGCTGGTCATCCTGTGGTCCCGAGCCCCCTGTGCTTGGGTTGGGGGCTGGTGGCCTGTCCAGGCGTCGCGGAGACCCCGGCCTAGTGGCTCCACCCGGTCTTTCCACAGATCATGCAGGGCCGCATGTGAGCTAAAACGTCCATTTATTTCAAAGCAGTAATAATTTAAAATTATAAAAACCTTTCCGCCGTTGACTGTGTGGAGGGTGAGGTTAGAGACAAACGGGTGGGGGAGCCGGGGACGCCCCGGGGGCGCCGTGTGCCCAGGCCCCCCGGCCAGACAACCGTGGGGAGGGCGGAGCTTGCTCCAGCCTGGAGGCGGTGGGTCGTCCGAGTCTCTGCCTGCCGTGGGGGGGGGCGATGCGGGAGCCAAGGCGGGTGGGGGAACCTCCAGGCTCCAGCTCGCGGCGCCCCCCCCCACCTCCCCGCAGGGCCTGGTGCGGGCGAGGTCCTGTGCTCAGGCTGGGGGCCGGCCCGAGGCGGGGGCAGGGGGCTCAGGAGTTGCCGGCCGGGTTTTCGTTGCTGGGCGAGCTGGAGGACGACGAGGACGACGAGGACGAGAAGCTCACGCCGGTCAGGCCCGGGGGGTTGGTGGCTGTGTTCTGACCCGTGAGGCTTTTCCGGCACACGGGGCAGCTGTCGTGCTTCGCGGGGACAGAGGGAGGGGCGGTTCAGAGGCAGAGCGGAGGGGGGGGCCCGCGCGGGGTGGGGGGGGGCACCGGCTCACCTGCTGCAGCCAGGGCACGATGCAGCCGTCGTGAAAGAGGTGACTGCAGGGCAGCTGCCGCACGCGCTCCCCCAGTCCGTAGTCATCCTTGCACACGGGGCACTCCAGCCCGGAGCCTGCGGGACGGGCGCCTGTGACCGCCGAGACCCGCGGGGGAGCCTGCCCGCCACCCCCCGCCGGGGCACGCAGGGGCCGAGGCCCCACCCGGCGTCCTGGGGGACGGGACACGGACAGTGTCGGGACAGGGGCCGAGAGACACACACCTACGTGTTCCTCCGTGACGGGGACGGTGGGGAGGGCCTGGATTTTCTCTTTGTCTGCAGGCGGGGGGCCTGTGTTTTCAAACTGATTGAGGAGCTGAAAGACAAGAGGCCAGAGTGCCGGGAACTCGGTAGGCAGGTGCGGCCCCTCGCCCCGAAGGGCTCTGAAATGCAAGGCTGGGTTACCTGCAAAAGCACCAAGGCTGTGTTTTTCCTGGTCCCCGGACCCCCCCACGAGGCTGAGCCCCACGCTCCTACCCACCCGTCCGCATGTCCAGTCAGGGTCACCTTGCACCCAGGGCAGCTGCAGCCCTGGGGACAGCGCGACCTCACCCAGCGCAGAGGGTCCCACCCAGGGGCTGGTCCCTGAGGCCTCCTGTCAGCTAGAGCCAGAGGGCTGGGTCCTGCTGTGGGGAAGCGCACCACAGTTCACCAGCAAAAGGCCTCACAAGGGCCGCCAAGTTCACGGTGACCACCCCATCCCCGGGGCAGCTCAGGAGAATGTGGAGGTCCATGTGGGGCACCCCAGCCTCAGGATGGGAGTTATGGAGAGCTGGGGAGCAGGGCATCCACACCAGGGACTCTCTCGGCCTCTGGGAGCAGGGCCCATCAAGCTCCTCATCCTCAGCAGGAAAGATAGCAACCCCCCTGCCCTCCTTGGGGAGGTGACCCTGTACCTGCGTGATGATGGCATCCAGGCCGTTGGCCCCCCAGGCATAGTCCATCGGGTTTGAGTGCAGGACACCCCTGCGCAGAGAGGTCTGGGGTTCAAGTGGCGGAGGGGCCGGGCAGGGCGCAAGGGGACCCGCCCACCTACTCACCAGGGGCCCAGGCCCAGGCTGGGGATGCTGGCAGGAGTGATGATACCATTGACCAGCTGCTGGATGATCCTGGAACAGAGTGGGAGGCCCAGCCAGTGGTCAGCACCCTCCGAGGCTGGGCACCCCAGAGGAGGAAGCAGAGGAGACACGTGTCCAGCTTCGAAATTCACAGCGTTTAAAGGCTGTGTTTTCAACCAAGAAGATTTGCGAAGACTCAGACACGAGACAGACCCTCACTGATCCCGGAGGCCTGGACAGCGCCTGTGAGCGCGAACCACATCACATCGCTCCCTGTCTTACAACCTGGGGGTGCATCCCGGAGGTCCCCAGCCCCGCCATTCGCAGCGGCCCAGAAACGTGCTGGCTGAAGTCGCAGTGAAGCCAGGGCCTGAGCCTGGGGCAGCCGCTGCAGGGCAGCTCACAGACGGGGGACACCAGGGGCACCAGGACAGCCCAGACTGTGTCCTTGGCTGGAATCGAACAGGACAGAGCACGTCGGGGCTCCCTGTGCATCTAAACCCATCTTAAGAGACACAGGCGCTGCTCTGTGTGGGGCCAAGTTCCAGCTATGAAAACGCTGGAGAAGCCTGGCCCTGTATCCTCTGGGGGCGGGCCCTCCGAGGAACGTTTCCTTTTTACCCCCAGTCCTTCTGAACAAGCCTCAGCTTTCAAGGAAGCCGTCCTGGTGCCAACCCCAGCATGGAGGGAGCCTGGGGCTCTGCTGAGGAGCACGGATGCCAGAAACCCACCCCATTTGCCTGCCGCCCTGGGAAACAAGGACCCAAATGGGAACCAGCCGTGTCTGAGCTGATGGGCATGCGGGCAGGGGTTGCAGGGGAGAGGCAGAGACCCCTCTCAGAAGGACGGGGGCAACTAAGTGCACAAGAGGCCCCCTGGCCCTGTCCAGGTCCCGCCGCATCCTCAGGCCCTCAGGCCACACTTTAGGGTCCCCCTCTGCACCCCATCAGCATGGTGGGCTCAGGCAAAATCTGCCTGGATGCACTGGGGAACTGCCCTGCCCAGAGGTCAGCCCCAGAACTAGCATCCACGCCCTCTGTGCCCACAGAACCTTCTAGAAGGGCAGATGGTCAGTCTGCCTGAGTCGGGATGGGACAGGTTGTAAGACTCCCACGAGCGTCCCAGCCGCCGGCTACCCCCAGGTGCCTCACCCTTCCAGCGTGGGGACGCCTTCGTGCCGGCCGGTGGCCCGCCGTGCAGTGAGGCGGGCGCGGGGCTGCCGGGCACCATATCGGTGCCGGGAGTGTTGCTCTCTCTCCCGCCGGCTCTCGGGGTCCCTGCCCTCATCGGTCTGCACCCCAGGGGGGAACGTGGGGATCTCGAAGCTGTCGTCAAAGATGCCGAAAGCAAACTGGCCGTAGCCCTGCGGCAGCGTGAACAGGTGCTGGTCCACGGTCTGTGGGGAGGAGGGCCGTGATCACGGGCAGGGGCAGGAGCCCTGAGCTGCCACCTGGGTCCTGCCCAGCCCAGCCCCTTGCCTGGACCCCACGTTTCCTCCATGCGCCAAGGGGTGCTGTCCTGGGGTCAGGGCTCTGAGGGATGGAGACACACCAGGGGGACCTTGCCATGTGTGGGATAATGGAGGAAGGAGCGCCCCAGCAGTCAAGGGTCAGGCGGGAGGAACAGTCCTGTGAGGCGAGGGGAGGGGTGGGTAGCTGCCTGCTGGAAAGGGCGCAATCTGGGGCCAGACTCACCTCGAATGGTGGCCTGCTCTGGTCCGTGGGGGCTGTGGAGGGGGCGGACCCATTCTCTGTACTCCTGGGAGGACGGGCACAAGTCAGCAGTGGGGGTGTCCCACCGGGACCCAGGGCCACCGTCCCCCTCTGAAGCCCTGCCCATGCCCTGAGTCAGGAAGGGGGGGTCATCTCCCCTACCCCCCCCCAACCCACCGTGGCCCATCCAGGCTCTGTCTGCCCCCAGAACTGAACCAGCATTCGGTGCAGCACCCCGCGTCCTGGCCACAGCCCCGTCCGCACCCCAAGGGGCCTGGTCCGGCCAGCGTGCACCTGGGCCGTGTTACCTGGTCTCTTCTGGAAGCTCCTCAATAAAACCAGACTCGCATCTGGGGCAGATGTAATCCTGCAGAGGAGAGAGCAGGTGAGTGCGATCTTGGGGTCCCTGCCCCCGGGCTGAGCTAGCTGGACACCCCCACAGGACGAGCTCCAGGCACACCTGTGAAACTGCTCAAGCCCAGAGTCGGAGCTGGCAGAGGCCCCGCTGGGTGGGCCTGGGTGGGGCCTCTGTACCGACACCCATCAGCCGTGGCGTGACTGGAGCCCCCTGGACCTGCTGCCCTGCTGCAGGTGGGGCCCACACTCCCAGGTCATCTCCCCACCGTCCCACAGTCCCACAGTCCATCAGCCTATGTTCCTCGGGACGACAGAAGTCGTTTCAAGGTCTCCACTCAGCCACATCAGCTGCTGAAGGCTCTGACAAGGCCTGTACCAAACAGGCCAGCTGATGCGGGTCCACCGAGCAGTTCCTGACTTGCACAGATGGACGACATTCTGTGAGTGCCCCCAACGTGCACAAAGAGGCACCTGCCCCAAGCTCCGGGGTGGTCGCATGGGTGACCATGGAGCCCCAGGACTATGGAGGCCTCAGTAGCTCAAGTCCCAGGAGGGGGCCACGGAGGGTGGGAAGCACCACCCAGGCACAGGGACCAGCCTGTGGGTGTCCCGTGGTGGCATTTCTGGGACGTTCCAGCAGCCCTGGCACAGGGCCTGTGACCCCATCCCCACTGGCCACGCCCCCTCCCCCCGGCCCACCAGTGCTGTCCCAACTGGACAGTGGGGACCGGCCCCAGGGGAGCCACAGGCACAAGACCCCAGCCGTGGGTCCCAGAGCCCCACCACCAGCCACCAGCGCAGGGTCTGCCCCCGCCTGCTGAGTGGGAGAGAAGGTGGGGGGACGGCTGCGGACAGTCCCAGGGGA